CTAACATGTGGATCAATTTTATTTCAACAATTTGCTTGTGCTAAGAGGTATTTAACAGTGGGAGGGAATCGGCGAACCCGTAGCAAAACCCACGCGGTTATACAGGCAACCCTACCACGCACAAGCAGGAATCGAGACCATGCCATTTAGCCCATGGCTACTAAAACTCCCAGAATTCCATGCGTGTAGATAAACGGCAATTAGGGAGTACTGTTCCCCCATGAACTTTATCGGCTAACACGAGCCCCTCCCCCACCAGCCGGTAAGCGAGCTAACGTCTTACTCACTGAACCACCACCGCTCCCTATTTTCTTATGAACCATTTATAAGTAATCCGTCTAGTACCTATATCAATATACCAATAAAAATCCTTTTTTTACAGAATAAAGAGAATAGTACTACGAGAAATATGGCACAGGTAAGTCCTAATCTAATATTAGGTCAGTAGGGTGACGTCATACATAACAATTAAGTAAACGTCCAGAAGAACCAAATAAACCCGGGAGATGTCGTAAACGCCCAAAGGGCTGGACAGTACTGATTTTGTAATTACATGCCCCCCATATGAAAACTGACTAAAACGCGCGAATATTATGTATAAATGAGCATTAGCCATATGTAGGTCTCGATCAGCGCTCATTGGCGGTCAATTGTTTATTGTATTATCTTGGTATGCTTCAGTGTTTTTAGTATAGAATCTGTCTCCTGAGAGTTAATCACCACAAAGTTTCCCTCCTTTCCAAAAGCTGCACGCAAGAATTTATAATCAAACTAATCTCGATCCATCTGATTAAAATACAGATCTATATTTCGTTTCGTTTTTCGTATACTTTCGATGGCCTACACTACATGATGAAGCTCTGACAAGTTGTACTGGAAGGTCGTGTCAGGGGTCGTACGAGTGGCTTTTGGCCCTATGACGTCAGACATTGATTAATCAATCAGCGTTGACGTTTCTAGTAGTTTACCCACAGTTCCCTGCATGACACGCCAAGAAGTCGCCGTAACAGAGTTTGTATCCATCTTTGCAAGGAAGAGCTAACGACCACCGCGTACTAGGACAAAAAGACAAAAATGTATAATCCTACAAAATCTATAGACAAAGCAATATCAATGATCTAAAAGTTTAAAATACTAATTTTATAATATGTGATATTGCGGGCGCAAAAACGCATATCCTACAAAAACTATAGACAATATCAATATTAATATTATAAATACTAATTTTATAATACGTGCTATTGGTGGTAATAGACTGTAAAAAATCTTAAATATTTGTTGAAAGTTAAAGATATTAATTATGTGATATTTTAGGCTGAAGATTTGATTATTGACCAAGTGAAAGAGTATATATTATGGATAGAAACACCTGCAGAAATGAATCTATTAACTACCGTATTACTACAATTACTAGATCAACCAGAATCTCTTACATTACAATCTAGAGTAAGTTTTATTTGATCAACCAGAACCTTTTACATTACATTCTAGAGGAATTCTTACTTGGTAAACCAGAACCTTTTACATTACACTCTAGAGTAAGTCTTACTTGGTAAACAAGAATCTCTTACACACAATCTAGAATAAGTCTTACTTGGTAAACAAGAATCTCTTACATTACATTCTAGAGTAATTCTCTTTAATATAAGATACTGGTCATACTTGATAAACCATACTAGTCCTAGATAAACCCAAGTAAGTCTTGACACATCATTTAAAGACAAAACCATTTTCCATTATAACACTTATTTAAAGTCCTGCACTTCAAATCTTTTATTTAGCTTAACCTGGGTATGGAGAATAAGTAAATTATTTGGTAAGGAACCCTTTCTGTTGACAGATGTTAATATGATATCACTCCATTGAAGTAAGGTTATTAAAAACTATCGTTTTCCTTTTTTTAACAGGGTGGTTTGTTTGATATTTATAAAACATTGATCCCGCAAATAGACAGAATATTCAATCATTCTGAAGACAATCGGGTCAAAAATTCAGTTGGAAGAGGTAATAATCACTTTCTTTTATTTACATGTTTATTGATCGAAGGTCTGTCGTTGAGTCAAGTGGCGTTCGTTCGATTTCCCACTTGCAAGAAGTAGGCTCGCCTATCCAACTTCGTAGGTTTTCTACGGGTCCCAGGTACAAATATCCATAGGCGCAATTGAACATATATTTGTTCCTAAATGACCTAGTTTGTATTGAGTGGACCGTAAACCCCAAAACCTCTCTCTCTCTCTCTCCCCCCTCTCTCTCTCTCTCTCTCTCTCTCTCTCTCACACACACACACACACACACCCATGCACACATATATGACAATATTGTGATATTTACAGGTCTAATGGAAGGATTCCTGCAGTTGATGCTAGCACAGAAACTAGAAACAAACTGTATTAAAGGCTGCGCAGAGAAGAAGGTTTTGGTAAATAAACGAATGATTACTCTGATTTAAGTTACACCGAAAAAGGGTCATTAGGGTACCGATTGACTGACAAGTTGAAATAGATTGCCTATTAATATTGACTATTATGTGAACACTTATTGAATGATCATTATGATCAGTTGAAAGTCTCCACTACAAAGGTGGGCTTCCTAAATCCATCTTGAGAATGGTGGAATCCTTTACTGGATAATTACTGAGCTGTACTTTTGTTAAAAATCTTGTAACACTTTTAGGTTTAGATTACTCAAGCTGAATTAGCCAGTTGTGGCTAGAACACCACCCTCGGTTTCTCCGGTGGTCTCATTCCGTTCTAGCCTGTAATGATACAGGATTCTCTCAAAATGAAAAACAAAACAATGAATTACTAGAATGACGCATTAATACTACCGGTCTTGACGATTGTCGTTTCCTGAACGGCGCTTCTGGACTATAAGATGTAAAGGGCTCGAGGGTATTTGAGGGGTGGGGGTAGGTAATCATGATTTAAGTGTACTTTTAGAGATATCTTCTTCGATCTGTTTCTAATATACTGTGATACTGTGTGATAACTACGTTTTTTAACAATGAACAGGGTGAAGCTATACTAGAAGAATATAAAGATCATAATAAACTTATATCTATGATATTAGAAGGTTCAGTACCAGGTGAAGAACCTGTAGTTATATCTATAGATGAAGATATTAACTATCTGATAGCTACACATGATGCTGCTTCTCTACCTGGTAGTCAAGTTTACCTTGGTGATAAACAATTAGCCTCTATACCTACAACAATAGGTGATTCGTTAGATTTATCACAGTATGCAAGCTTACAGCTCGAGGTGAGTTATGTGGGGCACTGTCCTTGGTAAACATTTGCCCGATATTTTTGGTATTTCATTCATTTCCAGATAGCAAAATGACTGGAAACATATCTGACTTTATGAGATGGAGTCTGGCGTTCCCCTGCAATGCGCTATAAGGGGAATTCAAATGTTGAGGGTGGGCCTCGGTTATATGTTCTATCCGAAGGGCTAAGCGCCATTTCCTTCATGTGGTAATAATAAGCTGGAAAATCCCGAGGAACTATCTCAACAAACAAACTTCCTATAGTTAGTGCGCCAGTGGGTTACTCTCCCACCCACGTGGCTCCTTATCAAAATAGTGACAATTGTCAGTTGCATTTCTTAATTTGCGCTAACCTCTTGGACCAGCGTCGTTCTAGCGGCGTAGCTGCCATACTGCGACAATAAAAATATCAACCATTTTAAGTCTTTGAAACTTTTAAAGAAATTAACACCGGACACCCCTACTTAATTCTAATGACTATCATCAATTCAATTGATTTTTGTTCTAGATGTTTGAAGGTATACATCTACAAGGTGATGATTCAGCGATACACCGTATTAACACTAGAACTACCAGTCTTGTTATATATGGTGATGGAAATATTCTGGATGTTAAAGACTTAAAGGATCCGGTTAAGGTCGTACTGCAGAGAGATCCAGATGATCAAGTAACTGTCACGACTACCAAATTACATTCAAACAATTCCAACTTATTACAGCATATCAAGGTTGAGTTGGGAGATAATCACTTTGTGACTAGCGTCGAGTTTATGCCAGCTAACCAGAATGCTGTGTTTGATTTTTACATCAACCAAGGTTCTCCAACTAGCGCAGTGGAACATGAACTAAGCGGAACACTCAGTCAGGAATCTTGGACTATCAGATTAAATGTTGATATGTTTAGTAAGGGTCATGGTATTGATCGCTATAGAACTGGTGGTATAACAGCTTATATAGGAATTCAATCACATCAGAGTAAGTTCCATCATAACAACTTAGATAGGGATTCAATAACATCATATTAAGTTCCATCATAACAACATATATAGGAATTCAATCACATCAGAGTAAGTCCCATCATAACAACTTAAATAGGAATCACATCACATTATAATAAGTTCCATCATAACTTAAATAGGAATCACATCACATCCCATCACATTATAGTAAGTTCCATCATAACAACTTATATAGGAATTGAATCACACCATGCAGGAAGTCCCATCATAACAACTTATATAGGGATTCAATAACATCATATTAAGTTCCATCATAAAAACATATATAGGAATTCAATCACATCAGAGTAAGTCCCATCATAACAACTTAAATAGGAATCACATCACATTATAATAAGTTCCATCATAACAACATATATAGGAATTTAATCACATTATAGTAAGTTACATAATAACAGCTAATCAAATCACATCATAGTAAGTTCCATGATCCGATGTTGAATTTATCCAAAGAGCCAAATATGGGGTATACAAATATGAACATTTCTGATCGCAGCTAATGAGTCGATTTATATTTTGTTACAAATGCATGAAACTGACCTTCGGGAAGCTAGGCAATTTTAAGTAATTTGAAATTGATGAGTTACTTCAATGGCCTATCAAAATGTCAGGCTAACAGTGTTTGCTCTTCTAAGCTCACACTTTTGCCCCCCATCACAAAACTGTTGATGAGCGTATATTTCGTTGCCTGACAACGCTACGTTTATTTGAATAGATGGATTGGATATTTATCTTCTACGTTTCAGACATATCCACGCCTGTAGATGTAAGGATTTACTCTGCTGCATGTTTCTACTGGGATTCCAAGCATGATCTATGGTCTAAGCAAGGTCTTTATGTAAGAATTATCTTTTTAAAATTGAGTTTACATCCCGCGATTCTGTGGATTTCTTAGTTTGTCATTGATACGACGAACAAACAACCCAATAACACAGATATATTTGTTTAGTCAAATATGGCCGACAATTTCCAAATAGCTAATAACTAAGCATGTATATTTTACCTTTGCATCTAATTTAATTGTAAATCAAACTGTCGTTATTGATTAAAAATACTGTCTTTAGCCAGGTGTAAGTTTAATATTTGCACATCTGATACCACTTCCCGTTATTTGAAGATTTCACATATCTAACATGTATTCTTGTATATACCAGTAGGATCGCGTATGCCAATTACACAAATAATAACGCGCTCTTTGGGCTTATTCCTAGCTTTATAGAGTTTAAGGGGTAAAGGGCTTGAGGTATATCCTCATAGGCATGGGTGGGGGGAGGGGAGGGGGGCAATCTCAGTTGGGGAGCTAATTGCCCGAAAAATTTCTTTGTCACTTGAATTTTTAGAATGAATCAACCATTAACTAAAACAAATTTTCAACAAACCTATGTATATCCTAGAGCACATTCTTTTGAAGTGTGGATATATTTTGAATATATACATTACTATTAAATTATTGATATTGTAGCCTGGTAATGGTACCACAGTGGAAAGTGTTGAATGTTTAACTAATCATCTAACAGACTTTGGTGCCAGTTTCCTCGTACCACCAAATACAATTAACTTTGAGACGGTATTTAACAAGTTTAAAGATATTGGATCGAATGCAGCGGTTTTATCAACAGTTTGTGTAGTTATAGGAATATATCTAATCATTGTTTTTATAGTCCGTAAATTTGACCAGAAAGATAAATTAAAGGTAAAACTTATATTGGGAAATTCCACTTTTATTTTGATTTTAAGAATATGTATTTGTCACCTATATATACTATTTCTCGACGACATTACGTATTCGTATACAACCATAATATATACTACCCTATTAAAGTCATTGGGTTCACGGTATCTTTTCACAATTTCTGTAGTGATACGAAATGAAGTGAAATACTCCTTTTTTGTCGTTCGGAACGTGGTGGCTCAGTTAGTAAGGCGTTGGCTTGCTAACATGGAGGTCCAGGTGTTGGCCGGCAAAGTTCATCGTGATTTTTCTACGTGATCTCCCTTGTCAGTGGTGTAGTAAGGAGAGTCTGGCATGGGAAAATGTATAGTTGTTCGGTTTTTACGAAAAATAGGGGTCCCATGTACGCATTGACAGTTGGAATTCGAAAAAAGAGTAGGTCGTAGCACCGCTGTCCGGGCCAAATTTCACTCATAGCACACTGTATGGCGTATAGCACTATCCGATAGATTAGTATTGAAATTGTTTTGTTGTTTCAGTGAAGTATTGAACCATTAGATTATTATTGAAATGTTTGGTTGTTTCAGTGGAGTATAGAACCATTAGATTAATACTGAAATGTTTGGTTGTTTCATTTCAGTATAGAACCATTATCAAATTAATATTGAAAGGTTTGGTTGAACCACCAAATTAATATTGGAATGTTTGATTGTTTCAGTGAACTATTGAACCATCAGATTAATATTGACATGTTTGGTTGTTTCAGTGGAGTATTAGATTAATATTGAAATGTTTTGTTGTTTCAGTGGAGTATTGAACCATTGTCAGACAATCTACCAACAGATGTTTATCATTATCAAGTAACAGTTTATACTGGTATTAGACGTAAAGCAGGAACCAAATCTAAAGTCTTTATCGTTTTGGCAGGAGATCAAGATGAAACTGAAGTTCGTGCTTTAGATGATGGAACCCACAGAGTACGTATAAATATCAGTTTGGTCTTGTCCTATGTCAACAATCAGCGTGAGATCATTGCCAAATTCTGGATTTGGTATCGAACGTGACATTTGTTCTTACATTCTGCACTCAGAGAACTATCTACTTTGAGATTAGACCTCCTCCCTAAATGACCGTCATATTGGAAAATTGATATACTATTTGGGGTCTTTAATATACACAGAAAACTAAATATGAAAATAGAAGCAGCGTGCATTCTTATCAAAAATTCTCGAAGTATACTTAGCGTTTTCGACTAAAATCGGCGATAAAGAAATAAAATGTCGGTCAACTTGCTTCGTGTGAATCGTGTTTTTTCTCATGTGGAGCTTATTTTAGACAGACAGCCTAATAATATATCACTGTTCTTAACAAGGGTAGGTAGACGGTAGATACAGAGGTGATGGATGAAATAAGTCGTTAGCACGCGCATAAAAATTAGGTGGGGTTTTAGATGGAGTGACATAACGCGCGTATAACACTATAGGGTTATTTTAGGTCTAAGAAAAGTGTTCTGTTTAATATAGAAATCTTTACCTACATGACGTGTGACGAAAACTAGGGTAATGAAGTAGCTTGCATTACTCTGCTACTATCTTAGACTACCTCACAGCCATTTATGTCAGTATCCATTTCTGGAAAGTAGGGTACCATCGTCCAGTCATCTCGTGCACGGATTATTCCAATTAAATAGAATAATGTTGACGTTAAGCGGTGCCTATATGAAACACTTACCCAAAAATGGTAATTGCCCCGCCCTAATAGCTGCTGCATTATACTTCTATATATTATAGAGCGGGTTTGATTTACTTCAGACAATCATTCGGAGCTCAAGGGGAACATACCTATAGCCTCCGCGGCTTAGAGGCTAGGGTGAATACATCGTCTTAGCGCGAACATTATGTAGAACTACCAAGAAGTATGTGGCTCTTGCCACGTTTAAGCCGTTAGGTCTGAGTTAGAAAGGATATTAAACTCAGACCGAAGTACTATCATAACTTTGTAGTTTGCGGTATGTATTTAATTATATAAACTTAGTAACAACATAAACGGTGTCCCAGAGTCAGTTAATTGATGGTTGAAATAATTGATCCCACAAAGTGAAGTCCAAGTAAGTCCTAGACGATAAGTCACACGTGCGCTTTAGATCATAAGTTCTGTCAAGGAACCTAATTGTGTGGTTTCGATCCCAAGCTTGTACTTGACGAGGAATAGAGTTGCCTGCCCAAGCTTGTGGGGTCCCCCCCGGTCCTCCGTTCACCTCCCACTGCTAAAGACCCCCTCTCTCTCTCGCTCTCTCTTTCTCTCTCCCTTTTTCTCTCTCTCTCAAAATAAAATGCCTAAAAATAGAATAGCTGGTCAACTATAACTATATTATTGTTATTTTAGGAATTTTCTACTGCTAGTGTTAACAGTTATTTGATGAGTGTACCCGAATCACTGGGTGATCTTACCTATCTTAGAATATGGCACGATAACACAGGCAAGATGGCCGACTCAGATTGGTACCTCAGTTTGGTGGTAGTTAGAGATATTCAGAAGAATTCCAGGTTAGCAATTTTATTCAACACCTGCTTAGGTTCCATTGTTGGTGAAAAAAAAGCTTGACCCATTTGGTAGGGTGACCCAAAAAAACAGAACCCATAAATTTTTTATTTTAAAAATCCTACAGTGGTCCAGCAAATTTAATGACATTTGCTGGACTTAAACATCAGTCTGTCTACGATCATTTCCCATAGTTTGAGTTATCCCCAAAAAAGGAATGTGTTCGGGTAATTGACAATTTTGCGCAACTTATGCAAGTTTGCCTCCAATGCCACGGAGGCCACTTGGGGAATATATTGGAAAGAACATGGCTTTTATGCAAAAGCACCAAGATAACAGAAACTTTGATGAATGGTCGCACACAGATTGAAGTTTACGTCCAGCAAATTTCTTGATATTTGCTGGACCTTTGTAGGATTTAATAAAATATGTTATGGGTTCTGTTATTTTGGGATCACCCTGTATATAAAAACAAATGAAATCAAACTGACATGGCTGACAGTTGCTACTTACATTTCTGAATCAACCGGGATAATGAACTTATATTTCAATATGTTCCCGGTATTTCGTCTCATCCTTGCAAAGACCCCTTGTCCTGTACCACTGACAAGAACCCCGTCCTGCGCAACTGACAAGAACCCCGTCCTGCACCAGACTGGAAAATCCCCAGAAACTTTGTCTGCCAGCAACCCAGCACCTTTTGGTTAGTGCCATATTTGTTAATCAAATAACGCCAAGTAACAACTGCATTTGGTAATTTGCGCTTGGGGCATACAGTCAACCATTTTCGGCATTTGTGATAGCATTGATGTGCACTTATTTGGATTCGGACAATATCGACCGGTCATATTTTGAAAACCAATTTATTTATTTTATTATTTATTTCTTATTATAGCTATGTATTTCTGTGTGATCGGTGGTTATCACTGACCAAAGATGATGGACAAGCAGAAAGATTTTTACCAGTAGCTACAAAACAAGACCTTGAAACTTTCTCTCATTTATTTTTCTTCAAAACCCGACAAGATATCACTGATGGTCATATCTGGTTCTCTGTTATATCACGACCAACACGGAGTCCTTTTACAAGAGTTCAACGTTTATCATGTTGTCTCTCATTACTCTTTACGACCATGATTGCAAACGCCATGTGGTACCGTACCACAGAAGGTCTCGAATACTCCCAGGTTGTAAGCTTGGGTCCATTCCAATTTACATCTCAAGAATTTTTAATCAGTATTTTTATGAGTATCATCGTTGTGCCCGTCAACATCATCATCGTGACCTTCTTCAGAAAATCCAAATCTCCTGCAAAACGTCCTCAAGCAACGCAAGTTCATCCCAAAGTAACCATCAATGATTCTTTTGGAAAAGAAAATACTCTACTGGCTCCTAAAGAAGATCCATTAGAAGCTTTGGGGAAGAGACCAGAAAAGAAGAGATTTCAGTTACCACATTGGTGTGTTTACATCGCCTGGTTCTTGGTCTTTGCATCTGTATCACTGTCTGGGTTCTTCACCATCCTCTATAGTTTAGAGTGGGGGGCACAGAAATCCGGAATGTGGTTAACAGCTTTCTTCCTATCTTTCCTGGAATCTGTAATCGTTGTCCAACCAATTAAGGTAACTGTGATAGCAGTTTATATTTTTTTGTTTGGGCTTCTGGTGTGTTTCCTTGTTGTATTGTCAGTTAGTTTACCTCCAATTTATCAAATGTTGCTAACGTTATTTAAACCGTTTTTATTTCTAATTATAAATAAATTATAGGTCTTCTTGGCAAATTATAAATATTTTCAATTATTATATAGACATGAGATCACTGCTAAGAAAGGACTGTTTTGATTGTATTTTGGAAATGAAATGCAATGGGGTTTCGCCTCCATATTTCCTGCTACATGCCAGACCCTCCGTGGCAAGTGGAAACTATAATTTAAGATCCCAAGAAACGTTAGTAATTCCGCTACATACTCACTGGGCCACTGTGGCGTCCGAATTGTATTATTTATGTTGTTTTTTTTTGTTCATTGGTCTACTTCACGTTGTATATAATAGGTGGTAGCGGTAGCAGTGGTTGTAGCCTTGATTTCCCGGTCATCATCTGAACACGAAGACGATGATAAAGAAGTAGATACTGAGATATGTCATATTATGAAGTCTGGATATAACAAGTCTATCGACCCTACTGATCCAGCTTATCCAGGTATGTAAATACAGATTTATAATGTGTGTGTTATATATTTAATGTCTGAAAAAATAAATCGCACTTTACAATAATAATTTCTATCTCATATGACTGTGAATCGATGAGTTGGAAACAAGAATGTAGCAGTAAAAATAAATTAATGGGGAAGCCCATTTACTAGTTGCTAAACGAGGTGACAGACAGTAAAATTTCCATAGCCACAAAGTTCCGTAGCAAACAATCTGATTCCGGTTCAATTAACCACAGTCTCCATTAAAGGGGCCGGTCACGAATACAACTCAAACTGGTTAATTCTGCGTGGGGAATTTTTGAAACCATAACCAAAACTATCTTAATATAAACTTTCAGTTCCAAGTTTTTTGGTCATAAGTCTACAAGCTCCGTAAATGGCTCGATAATCATCTGTGGACATTTGCATTAGTTATAATTGTAAATGATTCCCGATTAACAAGTCACTCATTGAACAGTGGAATTTCTTAAAGTTAGGTAACCCTGTTATGGAATTTAAGCGGTCACTTCCCTCAGAACTGCTTAATGGTATGCTATGAACACATTCAACCATCTATTTCTGCTAGTTCTGCTATTTCTGCAAATTTTGACGTTTAATTTGTATTCATTTTTATAATCAGTTACCATGTGAACTCCAGAACCATTCCTTTAAAGGCCGACATATTCACAAGTATTTTAATTAACAGGTTACTCAAACTACGAGCATTATGCAAAACACTTATTTTCAGTTCATCGTAAGCCGTACACAGAAAGGGATGTAGATGCTAATAGTCTGGAGTTTTTACGAGACTACAGAAAGAAACAGAATAGAATGCTTGGTGTATTTCAAGAGGTTAGTCATTAATGTATTATCTGGGGAAGCCTAGTAATGTTAGAGTCTGCTGAGGTCATTTATATCTTTTATGGGAACATTAACATGCTAGTTTCAAATTGTTAAACAGCATTTAATTTTCCTAATTGATTACATAAGAATACTGACTGGATACTGGATACAATTTATATCTATGATACTATGTTAATTTCACATAATAGTGTACAGTTTATATATTATTTGGATAGCTATGCTATGTTAATTTCCGTTAAATTATGTTAATTGCCGTTAAATTATGTTAATTTATGTTAAATTATATTAATTGCCGTTAAATTATGTTAATTTCTTTATTTTCTTATTTCCGTTTAATTATGTTACTTGCCGTTAAATTATTTTAATTTCCGTTAAATTATCTTAATTTTAGTTTATGTTATGTTAATTTCAGCTAATAACCATATTATGTTAATTTCAGGTAATAGTGTACAGTTTATACCTGATTGTGATAGCCATACTATGTTATGAGAATAGGGATGATAAAGGTTTTAAAGAAGTTCAAAGTATCAGGAATTTGTTTGTCCAGAATCTTAATTCAGACGGTTTAAATCAAGGCTCAAAAGGTTTAGAATCTGTAAGTATAATAATAATAATAGTAATAATCACATGGCACACTCGGTAAATATAATGAAAGAAAGGGAAATATGATAGTCCACATAACATAAATTGGAATATGTCCATCTCTTTCATTTTAATAATTGGTTTGGAAAGCAACCGAAGACCACGAAGACACCTCCCCACCCCTAGGACATGCTCTTGGTCATACCTCTTGCAAGCAAGGGATCGAACTTCCGATAATGAGTTCTAAAAAGGATAACGTGTGTTAGTGTCGAGAAAATGTCATGGTCAAAGCATTAATTGATATGTCTATATCATTATCTCGCGCTTTGAATATCCATTCCATCCCACCATCTGACGATAAAGGAAAAAGCACACGACCGTGACACTTATCTGATGAAAGGTAAGTAGTTATTCAGGTATTGTGAACTGTATATTTTAAGATAAGTAGTTATTCAGGTGTTGTGGATTGTATATTTTTAAAGAAAATATTTATTCACTTTGTATGCACTGTATATAATCTTTAAGGTAAGTCGTGGTAGCTCAGTGAGTAAGACATTGGCAAAGAAAATCCATCCGGATTTTCCGGCGTGGTTCCCCCTTATCGGTGGTGTGGGACCGGGGGCCTGGCAAGGGACAACGTATAGTGGTAAAAGAACCCTTCGTAGTTTCAATTCGTTATAAGAGTAAGCTGTAGTACCGCTGTCCGGGTAAAATTTCTCTCATAGGAAACTGTATGGCTTATGCCCGTCTTCATTAGTCCAAACGGAGCAGAACAGTAGGACGTTAAACCCCATTTCATTTCATTTTTAAGGTAAATAGTTATGAGACTTTCTGGACTTGGTGTGATGAAAGGTTATTACAAGGTCTCTACGCTCAGAAAACATATAATGGTGACCCAGTCTCTCCACAGAAACAACTATTACTCTCGGATCTCGTACATTTCCGTGTTGGATTACCACAGTTAAGACAAGCTAGAGTTAAAAGGGGTATGTAAATAATATTGAGTGGCATATGGGGTATGTACACTTGATTTGATACTAGGCGTGCAGTTCAAGACTTTTGAAGGCTGTCCTCTTATTAACGGTTTCTTTAAAGATACATTATGGGAGATTTTTATAAGGAGTTAGCCATTCTTGCTATAAAAGTTCAAAAATAGATGATGAAAAAAGAATATATTGAAAATTTCAGTCAAATTACTTTATTCTGAACATAGTTATCACCATTGTAATTTTTGACTAGAAATGGGATTGAATTCCATCTTCACCGATTCTTAGTATGGCCGATCGTTTGATTCACAGGCATTAACTCCACCTGCTGTCTTTTGTCTCCTGTCATCATATCCGATGTCATTTGTTAAGGCATCGCTCAACAGCGGCCTCGCTTCGTACACTCTATCATTTAGCCTCGATCCGGGAGTATGACGTCAACGTAACGGTTAATCTCCGCTCACGACGCCATTTAAAATTAAATCAGTCAAAGAAATCCCGTTTAAATCCAAGCTGAATCCAAGCCATCCGTGGGTCTACAGAGTTGATTTTATGCTTGTTGTGTAAATAAAGATCTAATTTATAATTTCTATGACATCTGAAGCCTAAATAAAGACTTGCAATAATCAGATTTAGCTCTTGCATAATGTATCTTTAAGTCGTCCATACACCCACTTCACAAAACAAAACAAATCAACAGGCAACGTGAAGTTGTCACGTTATTCGGGATTCGGGATTCGCGAATCCCGAATACCGTGCTGGCTCTTTATTCGGGATTCGCCAATAACGAATAACGAGCCAGCACGTTATTCGGGATTCGGGATTCGTCACTAAAACAGACCGACCTACCTTGCATCCGACCATTTCCTCGCTACTCCTGACCGTAGGGGTAAGGGTACGTTGGGTGACCGACTAACAAGGAGACCACCGTTTGTCGAGCGAATAGGGTGCTAACTGGTTTGTTAAAGTGCACGGGGCAGTCATCTCCAGCAATTACCTGTTGTATTGCCGAATCCCGAATCCCGAATAACGTGCTGACTCGTTATTCGAGATTCGGGATTCGCCACTAAAACAGAACGACCTACGTTGCATCCGACCATTTCCTCTCTACCCCCCTAACAAGGAGACGACCGATTGTCGAGCGAATAGGGTGTTGGCTGGTTTGTTGACGTGCACGGGGCAGTCATCTCCAGCAATCACCTGTTGTATTGCCGAATCCCGAATCCCGAATTTTATTTCAACAATTCGCTTGCGCGTATGGGTCTTTAGCTTTGGGAGGAAACCGGAGGACCCGGAGAAAACCAACGAGGTTGGACAGGCGACCCTACTCCTTGCCATGTACAACCGGGGATTCGAAACCACGCCAGTTGACTCAATGACAGGCTTAATGATACAGCGCGCACGTGCTTAACCATTCGGCCCCCCCCCCCCCGGGGTAGAGAGGAAATGGTCGGATGCAACGTAGGTCGTTCTGTTTTAGTGGCGAATCTCGAATCCCGAATAACGTGCTGGCTCTTGTTATTCGTGATTCACGAATCCCGAATAACGAGCCAGTACGTTATTTGGGATTCGGCAATAAAACAGGTGAGTTCAGGAGAGGACTGCCCCGTGCACGCCAACAAACCAGCCAACACCCTATTCGCTCGACAAACGGTCGTCTCCTTGTTAGTCGGCCACCCAACGTTTACTTACCCCTACGGTCGGGGGTAGAGAGGAAATGGTCTGATGCAACGAGGTCGTTCTGTTTTAGTGACGAATCCCAAATCCCGAATCCCGAATAACGTGCTGGCGAATCACGAATAACAAGCCAACACGTTATTTGCGTTTCGGGATTCGGCAATACATAAGGTGCTTGCTGGAGATGACTTCCCCGTGCACGCCAACAAACCAGCCAACACCCTATTCGCTCGACAAACGGTCTTCTCCTTGTTATACCCAACGTTCATTTACCCCTACGGTCGGGGATAGAGAGATGGGTTTAACGTCCACTCGACACAAACTAGGTCATTTCGAGACTAACATTTAGTTTTAATTTTATTTCAATAATTCGCTTGCGAGTAGGGGTCTTTAGCAGTGGGAGGAAACCGGAGGACCCGGAGAAAACCAACGAGGTTGGACAGGCGACCCTACTCCTTGCCACGTACAACCGGGGATTCGAAACCACGCCAGTTGACTCAATGACAGGCTTAATGATACAGCGCGCACGTGCTTGACCATTCGGCCATCCAACCCCCCGAGGGGTAGAGAGGAAATGGTCGGATGCAACGTAGGTCGTTCTGTTTTAGTGGCGAATAGCGAGCCAGCACGTTATTCGGGATTCGGGATTCGGCAATACAACAGCTAATTGCTGGAGGTGACTGCCCCGTGCACTTTAACAAACCAGTTAGCACCCTATTCGCTCGACAAACGGTAGTCTCCTTGTTAGTCGGTCACCCAACGTACCCTTACCCCTACGGTCAGGGGTAGCGAGGAAATGGTCTGATGCAAGGTAGGTCGGTCTGTTATAGTGGCGAATCCCGAATAACGTGCTGGCTCGTTATTCGTTATTCGTTATTCGTTATTTGCGAATCCCGAATAACGAGCC